CTCAAGTGTTTTGAGTTGGGCCGCTAAATCCCTCATTTGCATGATGTGATCACGCACTCCTTTGGTACTGGTGAGCCTCAAAGTGGAAAACTTCATAATCAGGGTGCTCGCCAACGCCTTATCTGAAGACTCAAATTGTTCATCAATAGCCTTCAGCAGCATACGGACATTGTCATACTGCTCGATCGAACCCCGAATGCCAGACGAGATGTTTGTCTTTATGAACATAACGCTGAGGCGATTAGATCGCTCACACCTTTCATAAAGTTCAATCTCCTCAGACGCACTCTCCTCAGTAATCGGAGGCGGTTCATCTTTCTGAATAGCATAGTCAATGTCCATCCACCCCAAATGAAGCAGGATTCTTTCCTTCCACACCTTATAGTTATCCCCTTTGAGCTCGGGAATATCGCATTTCATGTCAGAGACATTCACAGGTTGAAAAACTGCACAAAACAGATCAATATATATGCTTATGTTAATAAAATTAAGGCAACTTTATGTGACGTTTTACCAATGTAAAAACATCAACAATATGAATCATATGACATAAAAACTGCCTGTGGGCTAAGTTTCTAATTCAAATAGATTCATTTAGCTTAATGATGAAACCATCGGATTATATTCGTTTCTCAATCCCTGTGGGCAAATTAAGAAACATAATCGACTTTCCACCCTAATTAATTACATAAATATAATAAAATTTCCTGTGGGATAAATTTTATTATATCGATGTGATTAATTACAATCAATGTCTTTAACTAAATATGATCCAAAATCAAAATTTATGTATTTTCCTGTGGGATAAATTTTATTATATCGATGTGATTAATTACAATCAATGTCTTTAACTAAATATGATCCAAAATCAAAATTTATGTATAATTTTATTCTAATTAGAGATGCTGTGGCAAAATTCTAATTAGGATAAATTATACAGATCACAAGACATATATTAAATAAAGACAACGAAACATTGAGAAACAGGCTTAGCCCAGTGGCCGTGCCTTTCCATACACTATGCCAAGGTTCTAGGTTCGAACCTAACCCCATATTCTTTTCCCTTATTTATTCAATTTATAGTACTAATACAATGAAACAATAATATAAAATAGTTTCTTAGCCTAGTGGCTCTGTGCACATGCATGCGTTTTCGGGATCGAATCCACTTTATGCAGATTATTTATATTTATTACTCTAATATTACACACAACGAAAGAAACCCTAAAAGTTTTGATTTTGCGCATTATCTCCTGTTCAGCCGTTCGGCCCCGTCTTCTTCCTCTGTCCCTTTTTTTTTTTTTTTTTAAACGACAACCGAAATTTCTTTCAAAAATACCGTCGCTTACACCAAACTGGGAACAGAGGAATTATGACAGTTTCGTAATCACCACATCCACCAAGTCGACGGTGCTCTCCAAAACCCTAATCCGAGAGGGTATGGATCAACAAGCTCCGTCGGTTGGCTTCATCATGGACACGATCATTGCCGACAATGGTCTCCGTGACTTTATTCTGAAGATCCAGTCACCAATGTGAACCAGAATCCCTTTGGAGACAGTTACAACAAAGGCAGATACCAAAATCACAAAAACAAAACATGGAGGTAATACAGAGTTTTTTTTTTCTTCTTCTTAAAAACTTAAAAACTTATGCACAGATTCAATGATGTATTTCATAAACAAAAAATTTTGATTTCAAAATTCAGTAATACATCGAATAAGTTAGATTTTCTGTAACATTTCAGATTTCATAACCAAAATTATATTCAAAGCAGAGGATAAACCAGGCTCTGATACCAAATGTAAGTTTAAAATTCTTTAAACTCATCTTAAATCATGATCTCTATGTAAACAATTTTAATACATCAGATCATGTATGCGGAAATAAATTCTGAATCGAACACATACCTCCAGCCATTGAAAATGGTTGAGTTGAAATCTGAATATTTGGTGCTTCTAAACCTTTAGCAATACAATACTGATGGTGTATATCTATCTGTTTTGCTTGGTTTAGGGACCAAATACGTTACCCCTATTTATTGTTTTTTCTCCATCAGAAAAAACTGCTATTGGGGTGGTTATCATGCAGTTAACACAACATGGAGGAAATGTTAGACCATTAACATAATGGGAAGTTAATAAAACTTCCAACAGAGACTTCTAGGAAACTAGAAAACCGTAATAGAACGTTTCCGTTTCCAGAAAGAAGAGCAACAGAGAAACGTGGAGAAAAGATTACATGTCCTTGTATGCCGAAGCCAAGTTCGCATGTGCTTCGGGCATTGCAGGGCGGACATTTATCGCATGGCTGTAATCTTGGATTGCTTCATTCACTCTACCAATCTCTGTGTAAGTATTTCCCCTGCTTACGAGCGCGTTGGCTGCCAACATGATATGGCATCGGCATAATTTCTATGCATGAAAATATTTAAAAAGAAAAGGGTTGCTTAGGAATATGGCAAGAGTTTAATCAATGAATGCATACGAGAATTACACCCGATATATACAGAGTAATGCCAGAGCAGATCATCACCTGTTGTGTATAGATCATCGCAAGGTTACTGAAAGGAGCCGAGAGTCCTGTAGTAACTGCCAAGGTTGCCGTCTAGTATGAAGCCGCAACACCGGTCATATTCCTGCAAGTTCAGATTTTGCTTAAGCATATTCCCACGAGTTCCGAAACAGAATTTCGGAACAAAATGATCTCGAAACTATAATTTCTTACCATTCCATGTATATGTTCCCGAGATTAGTAAGTGCTTACAGCAACACAAGGCATTACTGCAAACAGAAAAGACAGAAATCACATAAGATAATAATAATCACCCGTAACTAAAAGGATTTTCAACCATAAGATATTAACCAGCATATATTATAGCATTGGATCGCTTCATTGGTCCTTCCCCCATTCTTCAACCCATTACCCTTTGAATTTAGGACGTAATAGAAACAAATAACATAAACACAATCAGCAATTTTTTGTAGCTTTAAATCAATGCCAAAGATATGGAAAATAAAAGAGCATAACTAACCAAGTTATTGTAACTCTCGACACATTTTGGGTCACGGGTAATGGCTTGCTGGTAATGGAGTACCGCCAAATCTAATTGGCCTCGGTCGTAATAGAGGTTGGCCAAGTTAGCTGCATAATCAAGCCACGTAGGTACGAGTTAAAAGAAATGATGTAATGACCAAAAAAATATTATATATTTGACCTTTGTTAACTGTCCTAATGGAATTTCTGTTGTACAGATAAGATAATAATAATAATAATAATAATCACAGCAACAATTGCCAATTTAAACTTTCTGCAAAGGGAAACAACACTCACCGTATGCCGACGCAGAACTGGGACGGGCTTGAAATAACGCGTTGATAACAATTTACTGCCTCTTGAGACATTCCAAGGGCCTGTAAAAGGAAGACATGCGAAAATGTTGTCCTAAGATGTGGTGGTTAGAACCTAGACAGCACCTCCTACCAAAATCATCATCTGAATAACCATGTTTACGCACCTTATAAACATGCCCCATGTTCAAATGTGCATCATGGAAAGTGGGTTCAAGTCTTACAGCTTCCTGAAAAGCAGAAACAACCCGTTGTAACCCAAACCAATTGACAAGCGATCAAGCCGAATACAAAAAAAGATAGATTGAGTAAATATCTTTCCTAATCCTCGGATAACCGAATCATTGGAGAATTTAAATCATCGTGAAATATTGGAGTGCCCTGGTGAGATCCCCGACACCCATGGACATAACAGCAAGCTCTGACCAAGTAAGAGCACAGGTGGGTTGAGACTGCAGTGTCTCGGCATAATATTTGCATGCCTGATCAAAATTTGATTTCCAAAACTTCAAATTCTTATGGCCTCTCAATTAAGTTTCTATTACCATAGGATGCAAAGGCAAAAACACGCATAAACATCACAGCGTAGAGGAAGGCCATGCCCCATGAACTGAATATGGTTCTAGATAATCATGCAATGGATATCCAATTAAATGTGATACCGAATATATAGTTACATAATTTGAAGGCTAACGTTCTGACAATCAACTCACAGCAATTACAAATTACTACAAACCGGATAAAGAGTAGTCAAGAAAACCAATAAAAAAATTTACCTCTTGGATCAATCCTTTTACCTTCAAACAATTCCCATGCCTCACAGCTATTAATAGGAGCATCAGCCTGTGAGATTCAAAATAAAAATCATGTAAGGAGAATGAGCCATGAAGAAATGGGCACTTCACATTCTATTCCTGAACAAAAAAAAAAATCCAAGTTTCCACTTTTACCTTTTTGCTTGACAAGCAAGATCAAATTGGAAGATCAAATAATCCGTATGATTGAAATTTTTTTTTTTGAAGAAATATCATGAAAAGCACCAAGTGAGAATTCAATGTACGCGCTTGACGGGAACACTGTGCTCGTCCAGGCTTGCTTTTCTCAAGTAAGCACCAGCCAGATTCGACCATGCCTCAGCAAAGTTTGGTCGAAGCCATGAAAATTCAAGCAGAAAATAGGAATTCAGGGAATTGGTAAATGCATACTACAGAATAAGAAGCCTTTGAGGAAATAAGGAAACAGACCTCAATAGCAATCATATAGTAACATATTGCAAGGTCATATTCACCCTTTTCCTGTATACATCAAAAAGATTAAAAAAAAAAATCAGTAGGAAGGATTTACTGCAAATTCACTTGGAAATTTTCCAGTAGAAAAGATCTACCGCAAAGATGGAAACTAGAGATTACCCTATAAGCATTGGCCATATTTCCATAACACTCGGCGTGCCGAGGCTGAATACTAAGGGCTTCTTCATTCTTGGCAATGCACATATCATAATCACGCAACTGAAACATGAAAACAGTTGGGTAAGTAAAGAAAGATCCAAGGAGTTTAACCGACAAAACTCAAAAGGAAGACCAGGTAATAGATTGCGCCCAGAAGGAGGAGATTATCAGTGCGAAGAGGGTTCCTCTCATAAATAGCATACCAGTGTTCTTGCACAAGGCTAAACTTTCCAGTTTGGTAAAGCTGGTGTGCAAGAACAAGACGAGCATCCTCGTCAACTGCGACCATGAGCGGCAAGACACAAGAAACCTCCATAAGAGAAATAAAAGACAGCGATCTTCGTATAAAGATTATAAGACTAGACCTTCAACGAGAATCATGGCGCTGAAATTCTTGCAGCGCGAGAGATGTCGAGGAAGAAGAAGACGATGGAACCGAGACGAATGGAGCCCAAGAAAGCCCGAAATCATTCTGCATGGAGTCCTGATCTCGAGCGAGAACCCCACAATTCCACAGCTGATCCGACAAAACTCCCAAGATTAGAAAGAATTTCGGACAGAAAACCTCGAATCTGGACAACGACTCTTCGATTAACAAAACCCTAACCTTGTTTTTCACTCCGTCGAGCTCTTACAATTCCTCCTCCCTCTTCGAGAGAGCGAACGAAGAATTGCGCAGAAATCAGGGTCTTTCCTCAGGCGTGAGTGTGTTTCTTGTTTCAAAGAAATTCTCCTGGGAAGACCAAAGAGTCATATAAATAGAGAAATTTGAAAAGATCTGGACCGTTGATTTTAAGTGGAGAATATCTTGACTGTCCAAGTGGATATTTGACATGATACGGAGAAAAGACCGTCTGATAATTAAACTAATTTTTTTATTATGAAAAAATGGTAACCTTCTCTTACAAAGAGGGGCTTTCACGGCGTCGTCGTCGTCACACCAATTTTATGAGATAGATAACTTTCTTCCTCAGTGGCTCCTTCAGCATGTTGCTGCAAATGGCAACTTCATGTCACCTTCTCACCCATGCTCATGCCCAAGGTATACATTACCCTTCTCGTGAATTTTCTCTCTCCTTCTGTTTGTTTCTCGAGAAAATCCCTTTTCCTTTCCCCTTCTCTGTTATTCGGTTCTTGGTTGTTTTTCTGCAGGAGGGCTACTTCTCGTGCACAAAAGAGGCAATTCCAGAATCTCTGTAAGTTTTCCCTGTCCCTGTTATCCTTAGCCGTTCGAACCATGATTCAATTTGCGAAGACTTTCTTCAGAATAATCAAATTTTATGCTTCTTTGGCCCGTAATTGGATTTCTTCTGGCCCGAAAGATCGAACAGTGTTAGAATTCATAGAGTTTTCAAGATTCTTGTTTTAGTCGTGGGATTTCAAGAAAAGATGTATTTGCTTCTTGTGGACCTTGCTTTGTTCATGGAGACTTGACCGATGGTAAAGGCATAGTTGGACGAGGAAGAAACTGGTTAAATTCATTGGCGATACCACTGTTTGTTTAATGGATCTACCATACGATCAGACATAATGCTGGCCATAGCTTTCGTTTTTACCAGAGATCGGACAGTAACATCCATCCAAGGGCACGTTTCAGGGCTGTTTTTATCAGAGATCGGACAGCAAATTATGTCTGATTGTGTGGTAAAAACATGCCGAATTCCACGGTGAAAACGGAAGCTATGGCTATATGGGTCCATCCTTGGATTCGAGCAAATCAATCCAAGGGCATGTTCAACTAGTTTGTTGAACTTTCGTATGGGTCCTTGGATATATAGCAAAGCTTAAATCCTTTTTGTATTTAAGCCCTATAATCTATTGTTGATGCACGTATGAGAACCAATTCTCCATTACCTTTGAAAGGATAATGAACGGTTTATTGTTATCTCTATTTGATATTCCCAGGGAAGATCCCGGCCCTCAGCACGAACAAACCAAGGATGCTTTTCAAATCTTCCCATAGTTTCAGCCTCATTCAGTCACATGCCATCAGACATTAGCATCTCATCCAGCATCTCCAACAGTCCTGTCCTTTTAGAACAGACGAACCCAGTAATGGTCACAGCGTCACAACCCATGTTGGATCACTTGCATAACATCTTTCTAGCAGATTTGGATCCTGGAACAGCGAAACTGGCAATTGCCTTCTTGGGTCCCGCCTTATCAGCCTTCGGGTTCCTGTTCATATTGAGAATTGTCATGTCTTGGTATCCAAAGCTTCCTCTCGAGAAGTTCCCTTATGTTATAGCATACGCTCCCACAGAGCCGATCCTTGTGCAGACCCGGAAACTGATTCCGCCGCTCGCAGGTGTGGACGTAACCCCGGTGGTCTGGTTCGGGCTCCTCAGTTTCCTCAATGAGATCTTGGTTGGTCCTCAGGGTCTTCTTGTTCTTGTTTCTCAACAGCAGGTTAACTAGAAATTCCAGGAAAAAAAACTTGAAGAAAGAGTAGCTACTGATCACAATGTCACATTTTATTTGTCATATTTTGTAAATTTTTCCTATAAATATTCATTGGCCAAGATATATATATTCTTGACTTTTTGGATCAGGTTTGTGTGAAGTTGTCTGAAAACCAGACCAGACATCCGGCTCCATAGTTTAGACAAAAAACCCACGAGCCCAATCCAAAGGTATATATATGTACGTGTATGTGTGTGTGTTTCAACACGTATCAGCTATGTTCAGAGAGATCAAAGGAGAGGAAGAACAATGTTACTGCAAATTCTTGAGTCCTGTGTTCGATCAAGAAACCTGATCCAAGGCAAGATCATCCACCAGCAGCTTCTGAAACGCTCACTTGATCTGAACAACCCTACCGTGTTTGAGAGGTTAACATGCCTCTACGCATCATGCAACGAAGTAGAATTCGCTCGCCGTGTGTTCGAAGAAATTCCTCAACCAAGACAGAATCCTATTACGTGGGACCTGATGATCAGAGCCTATGCTTCGAATGGTCACTCGGAAGAGGCACTGGATTTGTACTACGACATGCTCGATTCCGGTGTTAGGCCCACTAAATTTACCTACCCTTTTGCTCTGAAGGCATGCGCAGGTCTGCGAGCCATTGAAGATGGTAAACTGATCTATAGTCATGTGAAAGATAGCAACTTTAGCGCCGATTTGTACGTTTCTACTGCTCTGCTCGATTTGTACGCCAAATGTGGAGAATTTGATATGGCAATGAAGGTGTTTGATGAAATGCCGAAGAGAGATGTGGTCGTGTGGAATGCAATGATTTCCGGGTTTTCTTTGCATGGGCGTTTTACTGAAGCCATGAGATTATTTGTGGATATGCAGAGGAGTGGGTTCAGACCAAATTTATCCACCATTGTTGGCCTATATCCTGCTCTAGGAGTGGCTGGTGCATTTAGGGAAGGGAAAGCAGTTCATGCGTATTGTACAAGAATGGGTTTTAGTGATGATTTAGCTGTTAGAACGGGGATATTAGATATGTATGCCAAAAGCAAGTGTATAATATATGCGAGAAGGGTTTTTTATTCAGACTATCTAAAGAATGAGGTGACATGGTGTGCTATGATTGGAGGCTATGTCGAAAATGGAATGATGTCTGAAGCAAAGGGACTATTCTTTGAGATGTTGGTTGATGCAGATGTCTCAGTAATGACACCAGTGGCTATTGGGCTTATTCTTAGGGGTTGTGCGGTTTTCGCAGATCTGACTGGAGGGAGATGCTTACACTGCTATGCAATTAAAACAGGCTTTAGCTTAGACTTGATGGTAGGCAATACTATAGTTTCATTTTACGCTAAGTGTGGAGTTCCAGGTGATGCTGTTAGGTTTTTCGGTGAGATTGTCTTGAAAGATGTTGTTTCCTATAATGCTGTTATCTCTGGGTGCATGGAAAATTGTCGGGCAGAGGAAAGTTTACTATTTTTTCGCGATATGAAGTCATCTGGAATTCAGCCAAGTGTAGCAACGATGCTTGGCGTTTTACCTGCTTGCTCTCACTTGGCTGTTTCCTTACATGGTTCTTGTTGCCATGGATATTGTACTGTTAATGGTTTCACAGCTGATACGGCCATTTGTAATGCTCTGGTTGATATGTACTCAAAATGCGGAAAACCTCATATGGCCAGGAAGGTGTTTGATGGGATGCATAAGAGGGATATAGTTTCATGGAATACGATGATGTTTGGATATGGGATTCATGGGCTTGGTGAAGAAGCTCTGTTTCTGTTCGATAACTTGCGGGTCACTTCTGGTCTGAGCCCAGATGACGTGACTTTCCTTGTTCTGTTGTCTGCTTGCAGTCATTCAGGGCTTGTGGATGAAGGGAAACACTTGTTCAGCTCCATGACTCGAGATTTCAACATCGTTCCCCGGATCGACCACTATATTTGCATGACCGACCTTCTAGCCCGTGCTGGACACTTGTATGAAGCCTATGATTTGGTCAACATGATGCCATTTGTGCCTGACAATCGTGTATGGGGTGCCCTTCTTGCTGCTTGTAGGACGTACAGGAATGTTGAACTCGGTAATGAAGTGTCAAAGAAGGTGCAGAATCTCGGACACGAAGGAACGGGAAGCTTCGTTCTTCTGTCCAACGCCTATTCGGCTGCCGAGAGATGGGAAGATGCAGCGAATATCAGAATGACCCAGAAGAAAATAAGGCTTCACAAGACCCCGGGTTGCAGCTGGGTTGATGTTTATTGAAGGTGTTATCCCCGTCTTTCTTGGCAGAAACCCATATTCAAACAGAGAGATGAAAATCAGACATAGCTGACGAGGAGAATGACAGAAGTCTTTCAGTTCAGGGCAGTGAGGCAAGAACTGGAAGTTTGCTCTTATTCTTGCTGCAAACCTGATCGGATTTTGGCGTAAGTGTCTTGGATCTGAGGCTAGTAAGAAGGTATTTCATATCTTTAGATATTGCTGTATAAAGAGTTTGCATAGCTTATCTTTCATGACAGGTAGACTATACAAAGATGAATCATTTGGTAAAGAGAGAAGCAAAAATATATGTAAGATTTCTTAACTTTTATTTCCTCTATGAATCAGGTAACGCGATTCTACTACAATCTGTATCCATGAGTTGGTGAAGTGAAAAACTGTCCTTCCCGTCTCTTGGACTCGATAAGCATCAAGACAACTCTCCCATCTATGTTTAACCGTGCACGGAGTATTACCGATGAAAATGTGTATCTTCTTGTGTAATTCCCGACCCGATTCGCTAAATCCCCTCCTTGATCTAGTGGTTGAACTGACGGCGTTTTTCCCGATGAGAACTGCGCCATAACAATAACAGTAGATGTCAGACTTTTCTGTGTGATGTTCATGGTGTATGCATATTCTGCAAAACAAGAACAAGTTTCAGGGTCTTGCCTAACTGAGTTCCTCTTTGATGAAAAACGCAGATCCGGATTTGATCGAGGGACGAAGCAACGTACCTGGGGGGCGATGCAGCCATAAGAGCCAATAATGGCGGGGGTTGATTCGGATTCGAATCTTCGGAACTTCGCATATACGGTTCGGAATCATTTCGGTTTGATTTATTTTCGCATCATTATGACTATTTTGTTTTGAATTCAGGGTAATGAATTGCAAGGGTGATGCAGATAAATAAAAAAACACTCACATACACAAAACCACTCTTGTTCATGTTCGTACATACATCTCAGAAGATCACAATGTAGTTAAAATAAAAACATCGATACGATGACGTTTCATGATACTCATATATAATCAACAATGACACTATACTCTGACAGGGCGATTGCAGCTAACGCGCCGATTCAAGAAACTAGATCTTGGAGTCGAGGGCAATAACGGTGCTGAGGTTCATAGGGTTCATGTACTTGGTGGATCCGGTCATGATCCTCCTGACTATGATTCCGTTGGCCCTCTCCGTCGGATGGTACGGGTCCCACCACGCGTACACATCCCGGTTCGGACACAAGTTCGATACCGCGGTGCATAGCCCCACCCCGTTGTACCGTCCTTGCCCGCAACACGCCGTTTTCGAATCCTCAAACCCTACAAAAATGTATGTTTTCATGTTATAAATCTTCTTTCTTTATCAAAATTAATGAAATAGAGGGAGAGATGGGTATACCAAAGGCAGAAGGGTTAGTGATGAAATCGTCCTGCATGTCGTTAATGTTACCGGAGATGAAAACATTGTCACCGAGCTGGCTGTTGAGATCCTGAAGCATCTGGCTGAGCTGTGGATTGTATAACGCAGCGGCTCGTTGGGTCTCGGCCACGCACTCTCCGTTGCGGCTGCGTTGAGCAAGCTGTGCCGGCACACACCCTATTGGCCCTGTCCCCAGCACCAGAATCCTCCTCGCTCCCAACTCATACAGTCTCTGTTTTTTTCATTAACAAAAAAAAAAACAGGGTTTGTTTGAATCACAAGAAACCCTAATGGTCCGTTATTCAGATATTTCGGTTCGATTATATTACGCTTTTAGAAAAAAAAATATAAATATTTAATTTTTATATTGAATTCGGTTTGTTTTGAGTTTTTTTTTTGCTGGAAATTAAATGGGAAATATGCTTTAAAAAAATATAACTTTTCAGTTTTTTTATTAGATTCGATTTGGTTATACCCGAATTTTTTGATTTTAAGATAATTATAATCATTTGATTTTTATGTCAGACTCGGCTCGTCGTATGCTATTTGATTCGTAATTCAGTACACTTACAATGAGGATCTTTCTGTATTCAGAGAGAAGATAAACAACGTAGTCGGGGATCGAGAACTGTTGAGATCTGAGAGAATATGGAACCAAGAAGTAGTTGTTGACGAAATCGTTGCCGCCGACGCAGATGAGGACGAGGGATCCGGCGACGAGCCGATGCGTCTGCTCCTCTCCGATCAGCGCGCTCACTCTCCTTTGGTATTGCTCGAAGTACTCGAACTGTTGGTACATCCTTATTATGCTCACCTGTCAATCTCGGTTTAAATCAGTTTTACTCGCAATTTCACTTGGTTATGTCCGGTTTAGCAGATTATAGCCCATCTCTCTTCTTTTGATCAACATTTTCATCTCGAATATATAATAAAAGAGTAGCAGTATATCGAAATAACTGCTTACGAATTGAATGCCGGTGTCGTTAAGGATGCCGATTCCGGCAGAAGCGAAATTCGCTCCGACGAGAAGCCTCTCGCCCGTGAGTTCCGGGCTCAAGTACGGCAACGTTGGCTCCGATCCAAGTTCTTGGCCTTCACAAAGTTTCAAAAATGTCTCATTATCGAAAACTACATGTAACAAAACGTTAGAACATGGTACGTCAGCTAAACCGGGTTTGTAAACCGGGCCATGGACGGGAAGATATAACCGATGAAGGTAGACTATAATGTAACTTATGCAAAAGGTTAAATATATATACACATTAGTACATTGCCATTTCTATAGAATTCAACGCTCGATTTATTAATTTTAGCATCATGCATTATCCTGTCTTTTCCTATATTTTATTAATTTTATGGAGTCTTTTCCTAATATCAATATATATCAATTATTATATCCAAGTGTCATAATGTACAAAACAGACCAAGAAGCAATAAAGAGAACTAGGACCACATAAAGATCATCAAAACTATACATACTCCATCAACGGATCTAGTCTTAGAAATTCCTAAGCTCCAAGACATATTGTTACATAATAATAGTATACACTAATGCATATATATATATATATATATATGTGCGTGTATAAAGGAATTAGAGCAAAGAGTGTGATACGAAACTGATGAAATCAGGGATGTTTAGCCCGTTGGAGAAGCGGCCAGTCGGGCCGGGAGGATAGTCAATGCCGTAAGGCGGTCTATCCGCCCGAGCCGTCGTGGCCAAGTAATCATTGTTGCCGTTGTCCACGATGGAATCCCCGAACACGAAAAAGGCCCGAGCCGCTTCTACTTCCTCGACGAAATTTCGCAACGTGACGAGAAATAAGCCTAGAACGAGGCATCGGAGACTAGGAGGTGAAGAATTTCTTGCCATTGCGGCTAAGAACTATATATATATATATATATATGGAATTGGAAGGAAATGGAAAAAAAAACTTTCAATGTTTTCCGAATACTTTGTGTTTGGATATATAAGGGTTATTGTGATCGAAGACGGACACTTTGTGTGATACAATATATGCGTAAGTAAGGGCGTTGAGTAATTTATTAAGAGCATGTGGCGATGAGGTTTTGGTAGTTGCGAAGACGGAAATGCCACGAGATCTTTGATCGTGACACCTTAAAATATACAGTAATTCATGCAACGCATGTTATAGATTGTTGATAACCATTAATCCAAAGCTTGTTATATATTTTAGTGTATAGTTATTATTAGAACAAAGAATTTAGAAAATGCGATATCCTATCTCTAGATACGACCAACTGAAAACAAGGAAATCTCTTGCGATGAACTTAATTCCCCTAGTGGGCGCGCGGACCCTCTGCACCAATCCGAGTCTTCATCTGTTCCTTCATCGTGATTTCCCTAACGGATCCTTAGCAACGATTTATACATTTACTTATTATTCTATATATTTTTTTTAAAGTTAGGATTGTGGGATTCTTTTTACTTAACATCTTGCGTAATTACTTGGTTAAAAAATAAGCAAGACAAAAACCATTATAATATTGGATTTTATAAATCTATCGATCTACAATACGAATCTCAACGTTTTTATTACAAAGATATCAGCAACAAGTACAAAACAATACCGACCTTAGCTCAGTTGGTAGAGCGGAGGACTGTAGTCGAAGCAGAAAAATCCTTAGGTCGCTGGTTCGAATCCGGCAGGTCGGATATATATCTTTTCGGTGGTGAAATGTTTTTATTTATAGTCTTAGATAACACCATTGTCTTTCGTTATACAAAGCCTTAATTACCGAGTGGTAACGGTTAGATAACATAATCATCTCATTGTCCTCTCGACCTTTATAGGATTTTATTATCGGGGAGGGTTCTTTGTTCTTGTTTCCCAATGCAATTTTCGAATTCTGCCGTTAATTTTTTTGAACTCAAGGTGAATCAATGCCATTATATATAACGATAATAGTAATATATATAATATACAAAATTAATAAAAATATATCGTCTAAAGAATATTTATATCGGATAACTGAATTTTACGTTTTTTATTTTTTAAATATATTTATGTAATTCAATTTCTAATTATTTTAAATATATTTTTGATAAAATAAATCAGATAATTTATAAAAAATTATGTATTCTCGTTAAAATTTTACCACAATATTAAGATAATATTACCAAATTATTTTAAAATAAATTTATCGATTTTTCTGATAAATCAAATAAAAAATTAAATAAATATATAAATATATATATAGATAAATTGATAAATATAATAAATACATAAAATCAAATAAAAAAATTGTTTAAAATAACAATCATAATTTTTAAATATGTTTAAATTTTTTTATTTATAGTTTTAGTTTGATTATTATTCAATTGATAATGATTTTTTGTTTGATCAAAGATAAAAATAACAACTTAAAAAATGGAAAACAAGAAAAAAAAGGAAAAAAATATGGGACATAAGATTTGATTTGTTAAATCTCGTAAAATACATTTAAAATGAAAAACGGTGGGGTCCAAACAAAATTTAAGTGGGGGTATTAAGGGTGTTTTTTTAGAATTTTTCTTAAATTCTATAAATAATTTTAAAAAAAATAAAAATTAGTGGGGGCCAGTGCCCCCACTCATTCTCAAGTGGATCCGCCTCTGTATATATATATATATATATATATTTGGAAAAAATATGTTGCAAACCCAACCTGGCAACCTCTGCTTAGTTTTTTATCAAAAAAAAAAACCTCTGCTTAGTTGTTTAGAGCTTAGACCTAAAAAATGTAGTTGAAGCAGATAAACCCTAATATATTATGTTCTCCAACTCCTCTGCACGTTCTTTTTTTCTCTCCTATATATGCACGTTCTTACTGTCATTAAGTAGAAAACATGTTCAGAAAACAGGAAGAAAACAATACCGACCTTAGCTCAGTTGGCAGAGCGGAGGACTGTAGTAGATGCAGAACAATCCTTAGGTCGCTGGTTCAAATCCGGCAGGTCGGATATCTTTTCGACACTCTCTATAGGAGTATTTTAGTGATAGGTTCTATATATAGGAACCATATGCCAAGATGTTTTTTCCCCCTCAAAATTTACATATCTTGCTCGATCTATATATGGCTGCTCAAGGAGGAAATGAGAGTTACTTAAACTATAATAAAGACATTAAGTCAGCAATAAGACAGATATTAAGCGACAAGTAGAAATTAAAACAATACCGACCTTAGCTCAGTTGGTAGAGCGGAGGACTGTAGTCGATGCAGAAAGATCCTTAGGTCGCTGGTTCGAATCCGGCAGGTCGGATATGTTTTCGGTGGTGAAACTTGTCTTCAATCCTATGTTCCTTTTATTACTGTACTTTTGAATAACTTCCAATATAACAAGGCAGAATTGTTTTTTTTTTAATTACCTACCTTGCTAAGGACAACATGGGAGCTCTGTGGATGCTCAATTCATGAATGAACTTCACATCAATCATTGGGCCACAGTTCTAAGGAAGCCCTCACAGTCAGAGAATCTTGCACTGGCTGATGAAGTCAATCCTATGTTGCTTTTGTCCACTTTGTTCATTTCTTGTAATATATGATTCTCATTTTCATTTCTGTTCGCTTACTATCATCTTGCAATGTTTTATTTGGGATCTACTAAAATACGTAGGTATCATTGGACAAAATAACTTTTGGGGTGAATTGTAATTATTCATAGTTTAGGGTACTTTTAGATAAAAATGATAATATACGGGTATATCCGTAGCGGAGATCAAATTCAGGGATCCTGGTGCAATTTCAATATAGTTCAGAGCGTACCGACCTAATCGAAAAGGAAACCGAACCGGATATGGGCTAACAGTAACGCATACGTATATTTTCGTTATAATGTTGCAGAAAAAAAAAATATCGAAGTCCCGATTGTCTGTATGAACAAATCAAGATTCAAGACCATCGCTCTCGTCATTCTCACACTTGAAACACGAAGAAGTCCTGTGTGATTCTCATACTAGCTTCTCGAAGGTTCTTCCGCCATGGGAGCTACCAGAAAGCTTCAAGGAGAGATCGATCGCGTCCTCAAGAAGGTTCAGGAAGGCGTCGAGGTCTTCGATAGCATCTGGAACAAGGTCCGATTTCTGATTCTTCTTCTTATTCTACTTGTTCTTTTCCTAGAAAAAAATGAAAATTGGAGATAGGAAAATCAAATTGCCATTTGTGTTACTCGATTATGGATGGAAATTGTGAAATTCTACGTCTCTGGGTCGCTATGTAGGATGCGAAGATTTCAAATCGGTCATCATTTGTTTGTTATGTGATCAAATCTGGAAGTAGTTCAGCTCTGATCCTATGTCTCGTCTGTGTTCTTGTTTTTCACCTTGGAAAATGAAGGGAAAGTTGTTTGAAATGTAGGATATGATGCAGAACTGGCTAGATGTTTGGACCGGCTCTGCTGATTTTCTGATTTATGTCTAGTACAGTTTCGTAAAGGATTGGAGCTTGGTTTTCTTGTTGTTTAGGTTTACGACACAGATAATGCTAACCAAAAGGAGAAGTTTGAGGCGGATTTGAAGAAGGAGATCAAGAAATTGCAGAGATATAGAGATCAGATCAAAACATGGATTCAGTCAAGCGAGATCAAGGATAAAAAGGTGTAACTCATCCTGTTTTGTAACTCTTTTTACTGCTTGCATGGTGTTTGTGATATTACATTTTTGGTTTGCGTTTTCTCAGCAAAAAGGATTCTGCGTACAAATTTTTATTTTATCTGCTATAACAATGAGTTTTTACTTTTTAGCATAGTTATCAGACAACCTGATCAAAACTAAAAAAAAAAATTCTTAAGTCATTCTATAAGGTCATCTATATATAGACAAATTTACAAAAACACTTATCAAATATTCAGATCTCTCTGATGAATTTGCAAAAGCTGGTGGTCATTGCAAGTGATCTGATTGATGGCACGGTTGTTCACTTTCAGGATGTTCAATGTGTTAATAGCTGCAATGCAAATGGGTTTATGTAGTAACATGGTCCTGCATTTCATGTCACTTCAATATTCCGTGTTTTATCCTATTACAAACATTACGTATGTGTTTATTCAAACCTGATTTTCATCCTCCATGTTTTACTATGTCGATGTTGAATGACGCTACCGGGACATGGTGACTTTCTCAGAGGAGGCATAATTGATTTTGTTTGACCTGTTTTCTGCAGGTCAGTGCTTCCTATGAGCAGGCCCTGGTGGATGCCCGCAAACTTATTGAGCGCGAAATGGAAAGGTTTAAAATATGCGAGAAAGAAACTAAGACAAAGGCATTCTCTAAAGAGGGTTTGGGTCAGCAACCAAAAACGGTAAGCAATCTATGGATTTTTGCTTATCAACATATAATTCAAAGGCATGTGACATGAATTATGTTTTATTGTTTTACTTATTTTATTCCTGTTCTTTGACGTTCAAACAAGTGATGAACACTTAGGGAATGCATCTTTTTCTTCTCGTTGTTCCTTGTCTTTTTGTTCAATATCACGTACCTTCATGTGTGCACCCTTTAATTGGTCGTGCTGAAGAAAATACTTAAAGCATGGAGCTTAATTTTCGATGAAAGAATTTTCTTCCATTCGAACTACGTATATGTCTGTTAAGCGTTTCTTGGTCAGGATCCAAAGGAGAAGGCAAAGTCCGAGACAAGAGAATGGTTAAACTCTGTGGTAAGAACATAAGCTCTTTCCTTTTTGTTAGTGGATTCTTAACCACTTGTTTAAGCAATCAAAGAGAACCTTGTTTTAATTTCAAGTTTTGTCAGCTCGGTAGTGTCCATGTCATCTTGAATGACCTTAGTTGGTAGAACTTTGCCTTTTAGAGTTATATGCTATCCGAGTGCTTTGCTGATTGCAAGGAAATTGTCTGTTAACTGTTCTAGGTATGGTTGATGTTTAGTGCTGGCGTATGGCATGTAAAATTTACTAAAGAAGCCAAATTAACTTTTTCGGTTTTGTCTCATACTGGAATCAATAGTAGTCTGATACACTCTTTATTCCTGCAGGTTGGGGAGTTGGAGCAACAGATTGATAGTTTTGAAGCAGAACTTGAAGGACTGACTGTTAAGAAAGGGAAGACAAGACCTCCTAGATTGGTAGGATGAAGGAGAAAATTTAGATATCTAAAATGGCTTTGATTTTTTTAAATTAATTTATTTTCCTTCATCAGACACATTTGGAGACATCCATAACTAGACACAAGGCTCATATAATGAAGCTAGAGTTGATCTTGAGGCTTCTCGATAACGACGAGTTGAGTCCCGAACAAGTTAATGATATCAAAGATTTTTTGGACGACTATGTGGAGCGCAATCAGGTTTGTGTTTTTCAGTTTTCTGAGCCAACGTTATTGACTGTTTAAAACATTTGCTTTCACAAAGTTGAGAATCTCCTGGAAGAGGAGTTCTATGCTCTTTTATACCTTATTATCTCACTTGAGCAATTGTTCCCATTTTCATGTTTTAAGGTTGTTAATACATAATAATGCTTTTCTAGGATGATTTTGATGAATTTAGCGATGTTGATGAGCTATACAGCTCATTGCCGTTAGACAAGGTGGAATCTCTTGAAGATTTGGTGACCACTGGCCCTCTTGTCAAGGTAAACTATACTAAAGCTGTGAGTGGTCCATTTGAAAAGTTCTATTTGTTACATTAGCATTCAGCTGGTAAAGGGATTTACAATCCATCTTCCAGTTCAGTACCTTGTTTATCAGTTTTTTTTTTTTGTAAAGTTATCCTGTTTGTCTCAGAATCTCGTACTCGCTCTCTCTCTCTCTTACTTGTTTTTTAAGCCGTGTTTTATCTTGGCAGGGTACACCAATTAGCTCGAAGAATTCTTTGGCAGCATCAGCTTCTATTACACCTGTATGTGTGCCTTTTCGCTACTCTGCTATTGGCAATTGGAATTCAAATGAGAATAGAAAGCTAGGGTAGTGTGAATGTCAATGACTAGCTTAACCTTGCCCTCTTTCTTGCACAGAGAGAAAAAAGAATCTTCCTCAGGCTCTTGCTTTGCTGGGAAAAATATTATCAGGATAGATGATTTCTTACATTAATAGTTTTACCTGAATATGAAAATCATTTTCCATTGATGTCTTAGTTTTTCTTCGTTACTTTTTTTAGCTTATGGTCAGTGTGGTGACGTTGGTGTGCTCTCGTTCTATTCCTGTTATTGCTCAGTAAGATGACTCAATTGTTACGTGGTTGTGTTGTTTCAGAGCACTGTTACCTCTACCCGACTGCAGAGTACGTTCCTGGAGCAGACTGAAGATAAAGCTTCGACTGTTAATTCTGACTCAATTCCAAAAACTCCTCTGTCCAAAATTAGTACAGCAGCAGCTTCACAAGCTAATGAGGCTCAGGCCACTCCTATATCTGTTAATGTTCCTTCTCAAAGTCTGACTGTGACAACAAAATTTACGGAGAACTCTGTAAATTCCCTTTCTCCTGTAAGCCCATCAATAGCTAAGGGAGAAGATGTGGCCAGCTTGCCTGGTAGGAGATTATCCCCATCCCTTGTGAGAAACAGTATCTCCATCCAATCGCCTTCACCAATCCCTCTATCTCCAGGTGGAGGTCCTAGTGGTGGAGCTCATAGTGGAGTTCCATTGGCCTCTGAAACCGCTAAAAGAAATACTTTAGAAATTGACAGCAGACTTGGTAATAATACCTCAGGACAACCACCAATGTCACCACTAAGTAACAGAATGATGTTGCCTCATGCCGCCAAAAGCAATGACGTAACCAGCGTGATTGATGTTAATCAGAGCGAGGCTAGTGTTATAGCCGGAAGAGCCTTTTCACCTTCCACGATATCTGGGATGCAGTGGAGACCTGGGAGTCCCTTCCAAAATCAGAGCGAAACAGTATGTTGTTTCTGTAAGACTCTCATTTTGTGCATTCCTTATTGACAACGTTGTTTTTCAAACAAACTATAATTATGTTTCATGTAGTGTTCTTCGGTTCTGCTTTTTTTGGATATATTTACCTTTTCTTCAGCTGGACAGGGGCGACTTTTCTAGAATAGTCATGGAGAAGTTCTGTTTTCTCGTGTTAATATGTTTCTGTATCTCAGGGCCAGTTCCCTGGAAGGCCTGAAATAGTACCTGATCAGAAGGAGATATTTTTGCATCGGTTACAGCAAGTTCAACAGCAAAGTCACGGTAATCTCCTTGGCATGTCTCATCTTACTGGAGGAAATAGTAAGCCAATGTCTACCCAACAGCAAAACCCGCTCTTGCAGCAAGTACTCTCTTTTCCGTCGGTTCTTCTTTTTATCATATAGCATATATAATTTTTCGTTTGACCTAGTTTTTGAATTTTCATCCAAACTGATTCATTTTCTTTTCTCATATTTCGTTAAATTTTGTCAGGGTTCGTCCATGACACCTCAGGGTGGTCCAGGATCCAGAGTTCAGTTATCTGGTCTGACTAATAATATTGGTCTCCAACAGCAGTCAAGTTTCATGCAAGAACAACTTAGTCAGCAACTGATGTCAGGTACTACCAAATATGTTCTCTCTTTATAATGTCAGTCTATGTGCTGTCATACTTTTCGGATTTGTTTTGTTCTTTCTGTGCAGTCGGGTGAAACAAGAAATTTCTCGTGCTAGTTAAACTGAAAAAGTTTTCTTTCCAACTTACCAATACCATAACTTCTAACTAGTGGTGCAATGGTGTGATGCTGTTTCCATATAGTTTCTTCAAATGTGATATATGATTGTTGACATGAAGAACATGTGATTTTTTAATGCTCAGAAATATTATACAGTATATGAAAATCCTCTCCAAAGGTAGCTTATAAACTTGTCGAAACTCCTGCTTTTGATTGTTAAATAGCATTGCAATGCTCAAAACTATCTATATCAGATCCCATGAATAACATTGAAATATATTACTGATGGTTGACGCAGATATAGGGACATTGAAACATGAGGAGATGCAGCAGAACTTACATCAAGATCCAATTCCAGAACCTGCCTCTAAGACCATTGAAGCTGATCTAAAACCTCGACCTATCTCTCCTGTATGTGCTTCCGTGATCCTAAGCATCTTTCGCATTATCTTTCTCCTCTTCCTTGCTTTTGGCATTTCTGGTTTCTAATTAATGTGTTTTGTTTTTAGTTTCTGGTCTGGTGATGAAAATTCTATATGATTTTTTTATAAGGTGTCGCCCCCTGAGCCTGCTAGAGCTGTTGAGTTCTCTCCGGGAGAACCCATACAGCCGAATCAAGTATCAGGTAACCTCGGTGCCATTGGTCGCAGAAGCGCAGCTGATCTTGGTGCAATTGGTGATGGCACAAGTGCATCACCTGTCAACTCTGGTGAAATTCATGACCGAAGATTCAGATATCAGATGCTTGAGGCTGCTCTTAAGCGACTTCCCCTTCCAAAAGATTCTGAACGCCCCAGGCAATATAGCCCGGTAACGAAATTTCTCTTAATATATCTCTGAGCACAAATATCAACCAGTGAGCGACTGCACTTACCAATGAATTTTTTAGCCAACAAGGATATGTTTTCATGTCACATAACTGCTGTATGTTGCCCGTTGTTCTTCAGGTTTTTGAAGTGTTAGAATAATAATAGATTGCTAAACTAGTTACCAAGCTGACTAGCATTTCAGATTTACCGAGTCATCATGAAATCTTTTGTGTTGACCCTCTCGCAGAGACGACCTGCAGCAACCCCTCCGAGCTATCCTCAAGTCCAGGCACCGATCATTAACAACCCGATGTTCTGGGAAAGGCTCAGCAACGACACTCTCTTCTTTGCGTTTTACCATCAACAGGTACACGAATAGGGTGTTTCTGGTAGTCTACCATCGGCCGGTGCTAGATAACCGTAATGGACAATGATGTTGGGCACCTTATAACAGTAGTCACAAATATTCGGAACCTTTAGATATCCCATCAAATTCAAAATTCAGATGTATGTCCAAATCCTATTCTGAGATAAACAATTACATGTTGAGAAGTTTCTAAAGAAAATAAGAGACATATATATGCTAAAAGACATCTTAGATTCTGTTTAAGTATTTTTTATCTTGTCTCCATCCAAAGAAACCAGTTTAACATCACTCTATATAGATATATAAATCGGCCTGCACATAACTAATCAGTTAGATTATCAAAGAGTTGCAAATCACCTCTTACATAGGGATGAACCCCGATCCAAGAAATCCGGATATCGAGGTTGAACAAATAGTAAAGCAAAGCGGATCATGGATATCAAACTTGGCAAAATTATCGATATTTGATCTGTTCCATGCATTCAGTAAGTAGTGTTTCACTGTAATCATGGTTCGATTTCAGATACCTCGAGTATTGTGTTGAGAGTCTTATATTTTTTTTTTTTACGGTTGTTTCCTGCAGAATACCTACCAGCAATATTTGGCGGCGAAAGAGCTGAAGAAACAAGCTTGGAGATTCCACAAAAAACTCAACACATGGTTTCAACGTCACGACGAACCAAAGATCGCAACCGATGAGTACGAGCAAGGCGCTTACGTATTCTTCGACTACAACGTAGACAAAGATGGGCAACATGGATGGTTAAAGATCTTTCCAACCTCTTATACAAATTTCATCTTATGTGTTTCCCATAGTAACACATCTCGAATTCGCAGGTGCTCGATGATCAAACATGATTTCGCTTTCGAGTATCAGTACCTCGAGGACGAACTCGGTGCATAAGTTCGAGACCGATGCTCTAGTTAGGTATGTATATATACATGACATGATGAATGATCTGTAACTTTATGTGGAGTTCAGTTTGTATATTTATTGGGAAGATGTGTAATTGGGCTTGACTTCGCTAGTTCATGTAAGTTGAAAACATATGTCGGGTCTATGTGCATATGTATATATGTATGTCTATGTACCAAACATCTGCCAATGAAATGTGTGTTATTTTAGTTTTGTTGGGTATATGTTGTCTGCCAAAGTAATAACTTGGAAATTAATTCGACAAAATATTCGTTTTTTTTCTATATATCATGTTTGAAAACAAAACTCGATATATTAAAGAATTCATGAATAAACAACGTTATAAAAAAAATGATTATAAAAATTGATTTCTATTTTATGATTGAAAAAATATATAATTTTAAGAAATCTTAATATGTATATATATATATATATATATTAATTAAAATTGATTAAAAAATAAAATATATATATATAGTATTTGCACGGGACCTCCGTTAATAATGACACGGCCCGTGTATGTATTCAATTTTGATGACTGTGCCTTTTATATAATAAAGATTCTGTTAGGCGTTAACCGTTATAACTGTGCGTGAATCTCCCAAATCAACAATGGCAAGTAAATAATTGACCTTGTTGGGAGATTTTTGCCACCAATACGCATGATATTTGTTGATACGATTCTTCTTCGAAATCTTGGACCACAGTAATAATATCCCAGCATAACACTAAATGCATCATGATGCATATACATACACTTGTACATCAATACAGGTTATCAAACCGTGTCCACTTATACATATCGTATAAGTACACGTGCACCAACACACGTTATCAAACCGTGTCGATGGACATAACAGAACTACTTATAGAAGTTCTGATCTGTTAGTGACTCATTGGCGACATACTCCCCATCTCTTGTTAAAAAAAATTAAAAATAAATAATAACAAAATTATACCGAAAGAAATTTGAAGACGAAATTATTGAAATCGTCGACACGGAAGAAAAAACAGTTTCCTTTTGCCTTTTAAGTTTCTTTCCTCATCAATTCTACGCGTTATCTCTCTCTTGTTCATTCTCTTTATGAATCATTCATCTGTCTCCCATTTCTTAATCTGAGTTGTTTTTGCTCTTTGCAAAGTTGTTCTTTCGTAAATTGGCGATTTCAGGTTTATTGGTTTTCCATTAGGTTTTTGCATTCTGTTTCTTCACTTCTGCAGTAATACAAACAGAGCCGTCTCCACACATTCTCTTCCTTTTCGTTTCGATTTTCTCTTTCATCAGATTCCGGAAAGTTCTCAGGAAAAGAATCGCTTCCGTTTCGCTGATCTCTCCTGACCCACCCTCAAAAGCCGCTGCCTCCCACTCTTTGCCCATCAACTTTCTCGGAAAATCTCTGTTTTCCGAGAAAGAAAGAAAAAAACAAACCCATGGCCGAAAAATGCAAACTTTCCCCCCTGATTGCGTATCTAACACTCATTCCTCTTCTGGGTCTCCATTTTTATCCAGCCAATGGGCTTGGTGTCAACTGGGGAACTATGGCAACCCACAAACTGCCGCCGAAGACGGTGGTTCAGATGCTTAAAGACAATAACATCAACAAAGTGAAGCTGTTCGACGCCGAGGAATCCACCATGAGAGCTCTCGCTGGTTCAGGCATCGAAGTGATGGTCGCGATTCCAAATGATCAGCTTAGAGTTATGGGAAGTTACGATCGGGCAAAGGAATGGGTTCAGATGAATGTCTCTCGTTATAACTTCGATGGCGGTGTTAATATCACGTGAGTTCTTCTTCTTCTTCTTCTTCTGTTTTGTATTGGTCTTGTTTTCTGATGATTCGTGGCTTGTAGAAATTGGTTCGAGTAAATTTTTGGTTTTTTAAGGTTTCTTTTGTCTGAAGAACAGAAAAGGGTGTAGAAAGTTTTTGTCTGATTGTTGAAACAGAATCTCTGGAAGCCCCCTTTAGATGTCCTGTTTGAATGTATTCAGATATGGACAAAGTGAGTTTGGATTTGTCTGGTGAATATAGACTAAGATTTTGTCTCTTTGTAATCTGTTCGTGTCTGTAAATTTCTACTTGAACTGGTTTTTGCCTGTATAATACAACACTATCTGTTTCGATGCAAATTATGTCTATCAAAATGCCTCCAATCTGTCTGATGCATAATATAACTCAGATGCTGAAATTCTTATGGATTTGGACATTCTTACACTCAGGTATGTAGCTGTTGGGAACGAGCCTTTTCTGACATCGTACAACGGATCATTCGTAAACCTCACTTTCCCGGCGCTTCAGAATGTCCAAAATGCTCTAAACGAAGCTCGGTTAGGACACGTCAAGGCAACGGTTCCTTTGAATGCCGACGTATATGATTCACCGGCCAATAACCAGGTGCCATCTGCAGGAAGGTTCCGACCCGATATCATCAGTCAGATGACTGAGATTGTCGATTTTCTCGGCAAGAACAACGCTCCCTTCACCATTAACATATACCCTTTTCTGAGCTTGTACGGAAGCAGCGACTTCCCGTTTGATTATGCGTTCTTCGACGGTCCTACTCAGATCGTGGACAACGGGATTCAGTACAATAATGTCTTCGATGCTAACTTCGATACCTTAGTCTCAGCTCTGAAAGCTATTGGTCACGGAGACATGCCTATTATTGTTGGAGAAGTCGGTTGGCCGACTGATGGTGACAAGAATGCAAATACTGGTACGGGTTACATTTCTTGAGAATCGGTATTCCTCAATCATAATATCTGATTTCGCTTTCCGGGTCTGGTTTAATCTTTTGATGCAATGCGTATTTATTTGCAGGCAATGCACTTAGATATTACAATGGACTTTTACCGAGACTTGCAGCCAAGAAAGGAACTCCATTGCGACCTGGTTATATCGAGGTATACTTGTTCGGATTACTTGATGAGGATGCCAAGAGTATTGCCCCTGGGAACTTCGAACGTCACTGGGGAATTGTTAGGTTTGATGGGCAACCGAAGTTCCGTATTTATTTGCAGGCAATGCACTTAGATATTACAATGGACTTTTACCGAGACTTGCAGCCAAGAAAGGAACTCCATTGCGACCTGGTTATATCGAGGTATACTTGTTCGGATTACTTGATGAGGATGCCAAGAGTATTGCCCCTGGGAACTTCGAACGTCACTGGGGAATTGTTAGGTTTGATGGGCAACCGAAGTTCCCGCTGGACTTATCGGGTCAAGGTCAGAACAAGTTTCTGATCGGCGCCCAGAACGTGAAATATCTGCAGAACAAGTGGTGTATGTTCAATCCAGAAGCCAAAGATATAAGCAAGCTTGTGGAAAACGTAGATTATGCTTGTACTCATTCCGATTGCACGGCTCTCGGGTTCGGATCCTCGTGCAATAGCCTCGACGGTCACAGGAATGCTTCATATGCATTTAACATGTACTTCCAGGTGAGGAACCAGGAAGAGGACGCTTGTTTCTTCCAAGGCTTGGCAACCATTACCACTCAGAACATTTCTCAGGGCCAATGCAATTTCCCCATTCAGCTCGCTGCTGCTTCATCATCATCATCATCATCATCATCGTTATCACCATTGTCATCTTCTTCTCTGGTTCTCTGGATTGTCAGATTCTTGTTTCTCTGGTTACAGCTAGTTCTTTTCTCTTAGATTCGGCGGTCAGAGGTAGGGAGATTTTTGGGCGGGGGATCAATTCTTCATTCTTTTTTCAATCGACTGGATAACATATATATTTATATATTGATGGAGATACAATACACAATGGTTGTATTCGTTCGTTTCCAATGTGAGGTTCATAGTCCGAGACATTTGCAATGCAGTTAAATCTTTGTGCATCAAGATTCATTCTTTTGGAAGACAAGTTCATCTCGCAGCTTAAACATATTCTAGAACTCTGATATACTTATACGTGTAATCATATGATTCGAATGCAAGCTTATCATTCATACAAAATACACAAATAACACATCATAATCTCATAACAAGCAGCGTCTCATACAAACAAGGGCATAAATCCTCCTGTCCAATATGCAAAAGAAACAAACAAGTGGAGATAACAAGAAACAGTTTCAGAAGTAGTAAAGATACCTGGGAGATTCTTGCCTTCAGTGGAACCAAATGACCGAGCTTAGGAGAGATCCGCTCTTTTCTTCTGGATGATGGGTTATGAAAGATTCTCACACGAAACACCGTTTTCTGTTATGAAGTAATGCTTGATGGTAGGAATGTGATTAACCTTTGAACAGTCTTTGCTTTGCTCTTCGCGTATACTTTCTACCAGCTTATCTGAAACATTCCTCAGACGTAGTTCTTGAAGTTTGGTAAGATTTTCGATGCCGCTAGGTAAACTCTTTATCATTACACAATCTTTGATATGCAGCTTTTGTAGACTTGGCATCGCGCCTTCCTGTATAACGATCTCATTCAAACGTGGCATGTCGCCTATCAACAGAATCTTCAAACTCCGAAACCCTTCTGGAAAGCATAACTTATCTCCCTCGTATGCATTGAAAAACGAAAGCCAAACCAAATAAGGGAGCGCTTGGATACAAGGGATCGCATCTTGTGCTAGTCTTGACCAACGCAAGCATAGTTCGGTAAGATTGTGAAGAGTATTGAACCAGCTAGGTAGCCTCTCTAGTTTCCCTGATAGAAAAAGCTTCTCCATTGTTGTAGCAGGAGACAATGCATCAAGTTGTAGAGGCTCGTTTTCATCAATCGACCAAAGAGACACAAACCTAAGATCCTTCATCTTAGTGAGGGCATTGCATAAGTCATGTCCATGATGTTTTCTCACGTTGACCAGACCGATCCTTGTGAGTTGTGTCATGTCACTGAGGTTCCTGATGAGCTCGGTTTCAGCATGGATGCAGTCCATAACCTGCAATCTCTTTAACTGACAAATATCAGATGAAACCTTTGTGCCTGAAACGATGCTCCAATCAGAGTTACTATGACTAAAAGTAACAAGATATCGCAAGTTTTCCAACTTTGAAATACCCGTAGGAAGCTCCTTAATCTTGGAGAATTTAGTGTTCAACGTCTCCAGGTTAAGGAGCCTACGGAAGGATTTTGGAAGTTTTCTCACACGAGTTCCTGTCAAATTCAGGTACTTTAAGTTGAACAGAGTCGCCAACGAATCAGGCAGTTTTCTAATGCGAGAGTCTTCAAGGTCTAAAGCTCTCAAAAGCTTCAATGCAGTAGGCAATGCAACATTCTGTTTGGTAGTTGAATACACCAAAAGGGTTTGGAGATTTCGTTGAGCGATACTTGAATTTATCTCCCTCTGAATACATAAATGGCGAGTTTCGCCATCTTGAACATCTTCCGCCTTATCATTAAACACATCGCAAAACTTCTCATCTCTAGATATCATCAAAGAAATCTCTCTGACCATATCATGCATCTTGAATGCCTTTGGGCGCCCGTTGTGGTTTCTAAACACTACTTGGAACATGTTTCTATAAACAAGTTCCATGATATAGCTATCCGCCACTTCTTCTGGTTTTACTCCTCTGGTTGGTTGCACAAACCCTTGTGCCATCCATAACCTGATCAACTTCTTCCTTTTGATGATGTAGTCTTCTGGAAAAATACAGCAATATAGGAAGCAATGCTTAAGTGGATATGGCAAATCGTTGAAACTAAGAATTAAGATCCTTTGAACATCCTTGAGGTCGGGATTATTGCTCAATTCCCAGTTCAAGCTGTTGTAAACTCTCCTCCATTCTGATTCTAATCTCCTTGTCGACATCATGCTACCCAAAGCCACAAGAGCTAATGGTAGGCCTCCGCATTTCTGAACGAGATTCCTCGCTATAGGTTCTATATTTGGCGCTATGTGTTGTTCAGGACTCCCTGAAAATGCCCTCTTGCGGAATAGCTCCCAAGCCTTATCTTCCTTTAAAGGTTCGATCCGGTGGAATCGGTTCATCGTTCCGTAAGAGAAATGAGCTATTCTCTCTTCACGGGTGGTGATCATCACACGACTTCCGTGAATGCCATCTGGAATGGCTACACTAATCTCCTTCCAAAAACCAGTATTCCAGACATCATCTAGCACGATGAAATACCTCTTAGGTTGGAGATAGTTCACAAGCATCTCCACCAACTCTCTGTACCTCATGGATGATAAGTCAGATGGAACTTGCAATCCTTGTTCTTTGGAGAAATCCTTGATCATTGTCCTAAAGACATCTTCAATATCATAGGATTGAGAGATTGTCACCCATGAATATGAATCAAAGTGCCTCCGTACACGTTGAGATCTGAAGATGTTACCGACAAGAGTTGTCTTTCCCGAACCACCCATACCAACAACCGGTACGACGATCCTCTGAGGTTCCGGGTTCAAGAGCCACCCGGTTAGTTTCCCCCTGGCCTCATCTATCCCAACAAGACTGTCATCTCCAACAAAATAAGATGATTCCCCAAGATTCTTCGCCCACTTGGTGTTGACACCATTAGCAGTCGGTAATGCTGCTTGTGACCTGTCGGGCAAGAAAGTGTTCATCAGATCTGACATTTCTTGAATCTTCCGATTCATTACCTCCAGCTTCCCCACTATCGGGCGCCTATCCCACAGAAACAGAGGGGAGTGAACAAAACGTGTAAGCAAGGCCTGGCCGCGGCGGCGGCTGATGCAGTAGGAGTACTCGTCGATGATGCTTTCGATCTGGTAAGCCAAGTCCCTTGTGTTCTTGACAAAGGTTGTGAAGACACTGCTGCTTATGTTTCCACTGTTCTTGTCCATGTCCTCGAGGAAAGACTTCATGTACATCAGCTTCTGCTTCATCATCTCGATCTCGTCACCCAGCCCTGTTTGCTGCAGCACTTCATTTTCCAGAACGCTTAAGATCCTTCCAATCCCGAAATCTATGGCGGCTGATGCCATCTTCCCTCCGTGGGAGGATGTATCAGCTTTGTTTAACCAAAGAGACACTAGTGCTTTCTCGTATTTTACAATATACCAAAAAATAAAATGATCCAAGTTTTTGAATCATTATTTTCGGACTTTTGAGTAAAAGGTATATTTCCCATGTTGATTTTTTTTTAATTCTCGAGTGGAAAAAATAAGATGAAAATTTAGGATCCACGCTGGGAATCCATTCCTTTAAGTAAATACTCGTATTAAGTCTCTGGCTTGAACTGTTTGTCTTTATGGAAAATAACGAAGCATGCAGGAAATATTATTTATTACTTTTCTCGATGACGAATATTCGACGTATCTCTAAGAATCCGACAAAATTTGGCAATCCATGATTGTCGGCCACATGACCATAGGCCTTTATTCTTGGTGGTTGCCTTTGTGATAAGTTATAAAGGAAATTTGCTCGAATGTGCGAAAAACAAATATCATTCCTTAAAAAAATTTGTAAATTATATGTACACTATACTTTTACATATATATTATCCAAAATAACTATAATATTCATTTAATTTATTTTTCTTCTTTATTGTTTTTTCGTTTCTTTTGTAGCTACCAATTTAAACCTATTCTTTTTCCCTTTTTTAAAAAAAATCTTTCTCCTTTTTCTTTTATATATATATATATATATATAGATATATATATTCTGTGTACTTACTAAAAATCACCAATATTTTATAGATTTCGTACCGGTGTACAAATTATACCTCCTTTTTATTATATTTTGCAGAAAGCCACCGTGTTATACAAGATTGGATATAGCCTAAAATACAATGTAATTGTATTATTGGCTTTATTATTTATACTAAGCCTTTATTTCATTATTAACGAAACCAACTTCATTCATCATCGATGACTTAACTCGTCTTCAATATCCTTAGTTGGTTGTATTTTATTATTGAATAAGTCAATAATTTTGATTTTTTGTAGGGAAGAGATAATAATAATTTTGAGTACCTCATTTAATTTTTTTTAGTACATTTATAAAAGTTCATCGATATCTCATTTATTTACAAATTTTTCTAAAATCATTCAGAAATAATCTTCTTATAACAATTTCATTCTCGTTTTCTAATGAGATCAAAGACAAATCTATCATATGGAGATTGATATTAGAGTTGTAGATAGATAGAAAAAATACATAAAACACAAACTTATTCGTATATACCTAAATAGTCTTAAACATTTTGATTAGGTTGCACATTTATATTTATATATTTTAATAGTTTATAAACACTATAAAAATCATCACACATCTTTTGCATTATGGTTTTAGGCAACATATAACAGTTATATCTAGTATGCATTAAACATTTCTTCATTATCTTCTAAAAACTTTTTTCATCAATTACTTTATACCATTATTCCCCAAAAAATGTACCATTTCAAACATAAACACAAGGTATTTTTTTAAGTAGAGTATAATTCAGAATTATATAAAGAAAGTCCAAAAGTAATATTGTTGATCAACAAATATGCATTATATGTTATAATCCTTTTTATTATGTGAGACTGTCATTCTATTTTCTTTATAAGAGATGATTTTCTTTTTAAAATTTCTGTATAGTTCCTTTGTGAAACAAATAAAAAACAAAAAAGAATATAAAAATCTATAAATTATGTTAATCTGATAAAAAAGCATGTATAACTATCAAATAAAGAATTCATTGATTTAAAATATATAACCTTTGCATAACATTGAGTAGGTCAATCCTTGTGAATTGTGTCATCTTATCAAAGTTTATTATGAGTTCGATTTCAATATGGATGCAGTCCATGACCTGTAATCTCTTCACCTGACAAATATCGGGTGAGACCTTTATACCTAAAATGCTTTAGCTAGAATTACTATGGCTAAAAGTAACAAGATATTGCAAGTTTTCTAACTTTGGAATCCTCGTATAAAGCTCCATTATTTTAGAGAACTTATTGTTCAACGTCTCCAAGTTAAGGAGTCTATGGAAGGATTTTAGAATTTTTTTCACACGAGTTCCTATCAAATTCAGATACTTTAAGTTGGACAGATCGTTAATGAATCAAGCAGTTTTCTAATGTGAGAGTCTTCAAGAGCTAAAGCTCTCAAAAGCTTCAACGCAGTGGGCAACACAACATTCTATTTGGTAGTTGAATACACCAAAAGAGTTTGGAGATTTCGTTGAGCGAGACTCGAACTTATCTACCTCTAAATGAATAAATGGCGAGTTTTTCCATCTTGAACATCTTCCGCCTTATCATTAAACACATCACAAAACTTCTCATCTCTAGATATCATCAAAGAAATCTCTCTGACCATATCATTCATCTTGAATGCCTTTGGACAGTCATTGTGGTTCCTAAACAAAATTTGGAACATGTTTTTATAAACAAGTTTCATGATATAGCTATCCATCATTTCTTCTTGTTTTACTCCTCTGGTTGGTTGCACGAACCCTTGTGTCATCCTCATCTGATCAACTTCTTCCTTTTAGTTATGTATGCTTCTGTAAAGATATAATAATACAGGAAAAAATGCCCCAAAAATGTACGATAAGTTATTTTCTCTTTCAAACATAAATACAAGGGCTTTTTAAATTGAAGTACAAAATGGAATTATGTAAACAAAGACCGTAAGTAATATTGTTGATCCATGAATGCATGATAGATTATAATTCTTTCATATGGAAGAATGGTATTCTATTTTTTTTACAAGAGATGATTTTCTTTCAAAGTTTCCGTATAATTGGTTCGTGAAACAGTTCAATAAGTTTTTAACTGTTTCCGTATACTCTCTACTAGATTATCTGAAATATTCCTCTGCCGTAGTTCCTGAAGTTTGGTAAGATTTTCGATACCATTAGGTAAACTCTTTATCATTACACAATCTTTGATATGCAGCTTTTGTAGACTTGGCATCGTGCCTTTCTGTATAACAATCTCATTCAAATGTGGCATGTCGCCTATCAACAGAATCTTTAAACTCTGAAACCCTTCTAGAAAGCATAACTTATCCCCCTCGTATGCATTGAAAAATGAAAGCCAAACCAAATAAGGGAGTGCTTGGATGCAAGGGATCACATCTTGTGCTAGCCTTGACCAACGCAGACATAGTTCGCTAAGATTGTGAAGAGTATTGAACCAGCTAAGTAGCCTCTCTAGTTTCCCCGATAGAAAAAGCTTCTCGATTGTTGTAGCAGGTGAAAATGCATCAAGTTGTAGAGGCTCGTTTTCATCAATCGACCAAAGAGATACAAACCTAAGATCCTTCATCATTGATAGATAGAAAAAAATACATAAAACACAAACTTATTCGTATATACCTAAACAGTCTTAAACATTTTGATTAGGTTGCACATTTATGTTTGTATATTTCAATGGTTTATAAACACTATAAAAATCATCGGACATCTTTTACATTATGGTTTTAGGTAATATATAACAGTAATATCTAGTATGCATTAAACATTTCTTCATTATCTTCCAAAAACTTTTTTTATCAATTACTTTATACTATTATTGCCCAAAAAATGTATCATTTCAAACATAAACACAAAGGTATCTTTTAACCAGAGTATAATTCAGAATTATATAAACAAAGTCCAAAAGTAATATTATTGATCAACAAATATGCATGATAGGTTATAATTCTTTTTATTATGTGAGGCTGTCATTCTATTTTCTTTATAAGAGATGATTTTCTTTTTAAAATTTTCGTGTAGTTCATATGTGAAACAAATAAAAAACAAAGAAGAATATAAAAAATCTATAAATTATGTTAATCTGATTAAAAAACATGTATATCTAACAACGAATTCACTGATTTAAAATATCTAACATTTGCATAATATTGAGTAGGTCAATCCTTGTGAATTGTGTCATATTACCGAAGTTTATTATGAGTTTGATTTCAACATAGATGCAGTCCATGACCTATAATCTCTTCACTTGATAAATATCGGGTGAGATATTTGTACCTAAAATGCTCCAGTTAGAATTACTATGGCTAAAAGTAACAAGATATTACAAGTTTTCTAACTTTAAAATCCTCGTAGAAAGCTCCATTATCTTAGAGAACTTATTGTTCAACGTCTCTAAGTTAAAAGAGTCTAGAAAGGATTTTAGAATTTTTTTTCACACGAGATCCTATCAAATTCAGGTACTTTAAGTTGGACAGATCGTCAAACAGTTTTCTAATGCGAGAGTCTACAAGAGCTAAAGCTCTCAAAAGCTTCCATGTAGTGGGCAATGCAACATTCTATTTGGTAGTTGAATACACCAAAAGGGTTTGGAGATTTCGTTGAGCGATACTCAAACTTATCTCTCTCTGAATGAATAAATGGTGAGTTTTTCTATCTTGGACATCTTCCACCTTATAATTAAACACATCATAAAACTTCTCATCTCTAGATATCATCAAAGAAATCTCTTTGACCATATCATCTATCTTAAATGCCTTTGGACGGTCATTGTGGTTCCTAAACACCACTTGGAACATGTTTTTATAAACAAGTTCCATGAGATAGTTATCCGTCATTTCTTCTTGTTTTACTCCTCTGGTTGGTTGCACGAACCCTTGTGTCATCCATCACCTGATCAACTTCTTCTTTTTAATGATGTATGCTTCTGTAAAGATATAATAATAAAGGAAACAATGCCCCAAAAATGTACGATAAGTTATTTTATCTTTCAAACATAAACACAAGGGCTTTTTAAATTGAAGTACAAAATGGAATTATGTAAACAAAGACCGTAAGTAATATTGTTGATCCACGAATGCATGATAGATTATAATTCTTTCATGTGGAAGAATGGTATTCTATTTTTTTTACAAGAGATGATTTTCTTTCAAAATTTCAAAAACTAGTCTGAAGATTGTGATTTAACCATTGAACGCTTTTTGTTGTGCTCTTTGCGTATATTCTTAACCACCTTATCTAAAACATTCTTCATACTAGTTTTTGAAGTTTAATAAGATTTTTAATCCCACTAGATAAACTCTTTATCATTACGCAATCTTTGATGTGCATATTTTGTTGGCTTG